TGGCATGCTGGGCAGAGACACGTGCCTGGTCACAATCCTCTTACAGAGCAGTCCAGATGGTCAGGTTTCTAGGTGTTTCCTAGCAGTCAGTGACTCAACATGGCCTAAATTTTTATAGTCTGGATGGTCTTGGTTCAAATACAGATACAAATAAGAGCCCTGATGCATGCTTCCCTATGGCTGAAGACATTCCTCTTTCCACACCCATCTAGTTCAACAAGTAGTTACAGGTATTTAATATCCTGTGTTGATTCTGCCTGGCCTTCCTCTCTGCCCAGTGCAGCTCACACACGTGTCCTGCTGCTGCTGGGTGGGACAGCACAGGCAGAGGGGAGGAGGCTGGAGCTTGCTGGAGCTCACAGACAATACTATTGCCTGAAAAGCTGGGAGACAAGAATTCACAGGAGGAAGATAAAAACATCATTTACCTGTGAGGGTTAAAATGCCATTCTCTGGTTGCAGGTGGTGTTGACAAACCCTAGTGAGGTGGCTAAAGTTCGGATGCAGACTCAGAGAAACCCACACCCTTCCACCACACATCAGCCTGTTTCCCAGCCAAAGTACCGAGGGTCTCTGCACTGTCTGAAGGTTATCATCAAGGAGGAAGGTTTTGGAGGTCTATACAAGGGCTGTTCTGCATTACTCTGCAGGGATTGCTCTGCTTCTGCAATATATTTCCTTTCCTATTCGGCGCTGTGCGACTGGCTCACACCAGATGGGAGAAATAAACCAGGTAGGTATTGGAAATCATCTGGCATTACCTGCAAATATGACTTATTTAGTTCCACCGTAAGAGGGAAACCAGACTCTAGGCAAACATCACCCAGTACCCATAAAACCTCACTCAGATCCTCATGAGGGGCTGCTCTGTGTGTGCTGGTTTTGGCCCCAGGCCTAGTGTCAGCAGCCTGCATGCCAGGGCTTCACTGTCCCCACCTTGTCCCTAAGCAGCTCCTCCTCCTCCTGCAGGAGGGGTTCTTATCACACCCTCTGCTGCCTCGAATGTAGATATGAAATCCATCCTGTTAATGCAAAAACAGGGTAACAAGAAAATAAATATGGACAAAGCTCCTGGGAGCCATGGAACTCAGACTCAGTCTTGAATATGAAGTCCAGGTGGAGAAGGTAAAGATACATCAAATTCTTAGTTGTGATTTGGCTCCAAAAAGCAACTATCCACTTTGAGAAAAGATTGAATAGGTAAGATTAGCAAAAGAGCATCTCCTCAAGAATTATAAAAATTAGATCCATCTGAAGAGGGTGTGAGTGTTCTCAGGCTGTACCACATCTAGTTCACATGGTGTTCAAAGTGTCATGTGTGCAAAAATTCTCTGAGATCACTGGAAACACACACCTGCAAGAGCTGCACAAACTAACTCCCAAAAAACATGAAAGTTACCAAAATTTGTTATCAAATCTGAGATGGCTGTAGCTCAACAAGATGCAACTGAACTGCCCTTCTCCCCTCACTCTCTCCTGCAGGTTTCCTTGTTGTGCTGCTTTCTGGTGGTTTTGCTGGAGTCCTGGCCTGGGGATTAGCTACTCCCATGGATGTCATCAAATCACGCATGCAAACAGATGAATCGGACCAGCACAAGTACAAAGGCCTGATCCACTGCGTGAGGGAAAGTGTGAGAAAGGAGGGGGCAAAAGTGCTTTTCAAAGGACTGGGTTTAAACTGCATTCGTGCCTTTCCTGTAAACATGGTAGTGTTTGTAACATACGAAGGTGTACTGAGATTTACGGATCATTATATAAAAAAAAAATAGCATGTTCCATTCTGTCCAAAGTGTATTTTATTTATTTGTTTTGTAAGACAGCATCCACTAACAAGTGTTGAATTGATGGACAGCATAAGAAGCATGGACATTTCAGCCCAAAGCTGACAATTGATGGCTTTGTTTTATTCTTACAGGATTACAAACTCATCAGGGAGCCTTGGCTTCATATCAAACCTCCCTTTTATCTCGTTAAGGTATTCAGACTGTAGCCATCACTTAGGGCCTTGAAACATTTGTGTATTTTTATGTTCTAATAAGTTGTTTGTCTGATCAGGGGTTTTGATAAATCAAGTAGTTTTTTCCTACTGGCACAGAAAATGATCCTCCCAACCACAGGAAGAGCTGGGGGGGAGTTTGTGTAAGATCCAACTCTCCAGCATGTGCTCTTTACATGCTGTGCCTGCACTGCATTCACCGAGCGACTCACGGGGCTGCTTCAGGCTGCAGCCTCCCCTTCTCAGCAGTGATTTTCCCAAAGCGCTCTCCAGTTATGCTCCCTCGGCAGCAGCTGAAGCAGGAACGTCCTTTCTGCTCTGTAATGAGTGCAGCCATGCTCTGCTCACAGAACTGTGCTGATGGCCTCACTGCAGTGCCCGGCAGGCCCGTGGCGCTTTCTCCTGGAGCCCCACGCAGCTCTGCCCTCTCCGCAGGCTCTCCCAGCTTGGCACAGCTTTGGAGACAATCTGTTCTCATCCTGGAGCGAGGGCAGGAATAGATGCAAAGCCTCTTTGCTTGCTGCCATAAAATCCATGCACTGGTGGGGTTAGGCAAGTTAGAAGAGAGTTGCAGAGTTGTAGAGCACAATCAAAATTCCCAGCTTTTAAAAGTACAAACTCTTCTCTCTTTAAATGGCGCTGTTAGGAGCAGCTAAATGTATTTAGGTGCAAAGGTGCATTTTGAAAGAATTTCAGATTTTCTATTACTTCTTTCTCATCTTCCTCCTACTTATTTTTCATTACTTTTTCCTACGTTTTTTTTTTTTTCTTCATGAAAGAGTCAGTTGAAAAACCGCCGCCCATGCTATTGCTTCAGAAGAAAAATCCCTAAACCCAGAAATGTAAGTTTGCTCGTTTTGCCTCACGGGCAACATACATGCTTCTGATTTAATCCCTGGATGATGACACTTGAAGCATTCTGGATCCAACCTCTCAGATTCTGCAAAAAATGTGTTTATTGGAGGGAAAGGCGAATACTGTATTTTATTGTATTTTTATGTATTCTCATATTTAGGACCCTTCTGGTCAGCAGTCACTCTCACCAGTTGATGACATGGCTTTACTACACTGACTGCAGATTTGTAGCAGACAGACTCGTCAGCTGCCTTTGACATACAGAAAGAACTACAACAAATTTAAAGAATCCAGGTGCTCCTAGATAAGAATAAAGGGAACCTCTTCTACCCCACACAGAGACAACTAAAAAGCCCCACAACTCCTGAAATCTAAGCCTTCAACTGGCCTTTTAAACACATTCACAGCCATGCTATCATATCAAACAGGCACCTGAATTCTTTCAAGGGTCTACCCAGCTCTTGCAGCGATCCAAGAGCAGGGTGAAGAGACCAGGCTGGTGCACACTGTGTCACCTGAAGGGAAGTGAAATGAAAGACCCAGCACTAAACCGGATTCTCTCCAAAATGCTTATGGCCTCAGTAATCTACCACCCTGGCAACAGCTCTGGGTGTCAGCATCAAACTTCCTTTAGTCAGAAAGTCCTTAAAACAGAAGATTTAATTATGTCCTTGAGGTTTGGACACTCACCTCTTTCTACAAGGGATGTGTTTAACTCAGTGGTGATTTATCCTTGCTCTGCCTGGATGTTTGGAATCATACTCCTCAATGCCATGTTATTCTCAGCCAACCTTGTTCTCAGCATTACATTCTCTCAACTGAGACAGTGAAAGAATGCCTGCAAAACAGACTAAACAATCATTTATTGTTAGGCAGCACTGATACCATTCATGGTCAGCCCAAGGTTTGAATATTAAATAGCCCATCTTTCCCAGTATGCTCATGCACTCAGATAACTAAAAATGTCTCCTCCTGTGGGTGTAACTGAAATGCAGCTGATTCCAAGGGAGAGAAATTCCAGAAGAATTGTAAATATGAGTGGGAATAACTGCAGAAGCCAGTGCAAGGGGCTGAGAATTCTAAGCCTCGCAGTGTTCAGCACCACATACAAGCAGGCTCTCATGTGGTCTGAACAAATGCTACATGAGAGGCAAATTATATCTCCAACCAGCTTATCTCAGGAAGGTAAGGGCTTCCCAATCCATCCTGTTCAGAACCCTCTACTGGGAAAAAAACATCTACAGTGTGTGGGTGACAACCTGAGGAAGAGCTCGCTGCTGATACAAACAGCAACAGGTACAGGAACTGACTGCGTGAGTACTGTAAACACAGGCACGTGAATTTGAACCAATTTTTGTTCACTGACAGGACACATTTTATGTACTCCACTACACACACCCCAAGCTGGGTGCTCAGCTTCGGGTTTTCAGCACTTGACTGCTTTATTTTCTGATTTGTATTATCTTGACCTTTAGCTGCTCTAATGATCACAGAACTATTTATTTGATAAACTAGCTAGTTGAAGGCCAACCAACAGAAAGAAGGTACCACATTTGCTGTGCTGATACTGGGTTTGCTTTGCAGCTTGTCATGTAGATAATTTCTTTCAGCAACAAAGTTGGTGGCCTTGAGAAAAAAGACTCATAGTAAGTCACACTCAGGATCAGGTTCCATGTTGCTGACAGCTCCCGTTTGCTCTGAGAATGCTCACGAATATCCAGGCAGGTTTCAGTTTTCCTCTCGGTGATTGTGGAAGCACTGTGGGAAGCTATTCAGAATCTGTGCTTTTGCACAGAAATTGTGAGCACTGTGTTTCCACTTAAGCACCAGTTTACACCAAACCCACTGAAATGTCACTGTACACGGGTCCCATTGACCTTCCCCATGCCAGAGCTGCCTGCTGTGCACAGGGACATCCAACATCCAGCCTGGCTTGGGACCAGGTCATCTCTGGACACCTGACCCTCACCAGCTCAGTCTGGGAACACTCTGAAGTCTACCTGGAATGAGGTAATCAGGCACCCCGTTCCAGCACTTCAAATCAAGGACCAGCAACATCAGATGACAAATTAACACCTAAAAAAGTAGGAAGAGAGGTCAAAACCAGAGTAATGGTAATTTAAGGCTTAAAAAAAAAAGTAAAACAAAAGAAGTTTGATACAGACTTTAATCTACATTTTTATTAGAGTGAGATGGACAAAATGAGCAAATTGAGGAAAATGTAATGAACAATGTCTGATAACATTTCAGTGTGTTTTTGAAAACTGCCTTGTCTTGACCTTTAAAATGACCACTGGGACATGAACAATAATTACAATAGAGTCAGGATTTCATCAAGACTCCTCTGAGAAACTACCATCTCAGAAGCATGTTGGTATGAATTCCTAAGAGGACTTGAAAACAGTGCTTGTTCAGCAAACAAATACTAAATAGTTTTGCTATCACTTTCCTTTCTAGAGCTTTAAAAACATAGTTCAGTTGTTATAAAATAATCCATCTGCTTATCTAGAGCACGGCACTGTTTCTCCTACAGCATATTGCCCTTTGCTGAATTACAAAAGTAATTCTCAGCTAATGAAATAAATCTAGCAGAACAAATATGCATATTTTAAACAATATATTTGCATTATAAGTTTGTAAAAGCACTTTTAAAGTCAATTTAAGGCTTATCTTTATGTATGGCTTAAAGATGACAAATATGAGACTGCAAGAACAGGAAGGTTATCATTAAAGTCTAAAGTAATTAAGACTTAGCTTATTTATTACTGGATTTGAGAAGCTATTTTTTTTCCCTAAGAATTGCTGCACTATTTCTAGGAAAAAAAAAAAAAGTTTTTCTACTCATTGTTAAGCCTGAGATGCTTTGCCTGTGGGCTATGGAGACAGTCTCTGGGAAACATTTTCACTAATTCACTGAAGTCAATGGCATTAGATTAGAAATGTCAGCTCACATAAACTGTAAAGAAAAAGACAAAAGCTAAGCCTTGCTATTTCCAGCACAAGTTTGAGACTCATGCCATAAGCCTAGTTTGCCTTGCACTTCTGCCTTTTCCTTGGTTCCTTGGACAAACATAACCAGGTTAGCCCACCTATGTTATCTTCATCAAATAAAACAACCTTTACTAAGATTATACCTGGGCTAGCAATTTTCTATTCTATACAAGACAGATCTAACAGTTTGCACTCAGCACTGTTCAGATCACAACAAATAACTAATAATTTGGATTTTTCTTCCAGGAATCATAGCAAAGACATTGAAGTTTTTTGAAGAAAGGAGATAATTAAATATGGCATGAGGTATTTTAACAAAGTATATTTTCTTACTGGAATACATCCTAAAATAAATATCCCTAGTTTAAACCTCCTGGTGCAGTGAAAGAGAACAGACAGTACTAGAAGCATCCCTGTGTCCAGTGTGACTTCAATTTTCACATCATGATTTAACACTTGTTAAATATACCTAGAAACTAATGTTTGCATTTCTATACTATCTTCCACCTGAGAATATCAAGGGCCTGACGACCTCCTCCTTCCAGAGGCACTCAGATCAGGTAAAGAGCTCCAGAAAAAAGTACAGTGAGATTTCTGTAACTTGCCCAATGTCAAAGTGTTCAACTCACAGATGTCCACTCTTTCTGTACCGATCCCACTTTGTAACATTCACTGCTTTTTTGTGCACAGCATGTTCTCAGCAGCCCAAGAAGATGTACAGTCTACTAAACCAAGGTACATAGTACAAAAGAAAATTGAGCTACTATTTATTACTTTGAGATATGACCTCTTACCAATATATTTAAAACAATTTCCAAGTTAGCCTTTATCATCAAATGGGAATTTTATTTATATTTTCAACATGAAATACATTAAAATACAGTGCTGGGCTGACAAACATGCTTTTCTGCAAGACTGATCAATTGTCTTGCATATTCTGATTTTAAATAGATACAAGTCCTATTTTAAACTTTTTCTGTACTCTGCTGTTCATGATAATTTACTCATTATTTATAAAGCACCAGTTACAGGCTGTACATAACTAGGGAGTGATGACACAACAGAAGACAACAATTACTTGGCTGTGGATCATGAAGTGCTAAGTTACATATACATTTCTTCAAAATTCAAAAGCCAGCTTCCTTGGAGTCATGAACTGCTTCACAATTTCATCTGTGACCTGCTTCCTTCTCTCTTGATGAGCTGCTACCAAGGGCTGCATTGTTTCAATAAGTACTTTCTTCAGCTCCCCTGTGAGCAACTCCCCACTGGTGTAGGCCTGTCAAGAAAATGTTGGTTGCTGAACATGGTGCCATTCACAAAAAGACTCAGTCATCACTATTTCTTTAAAAGACAGATTTGGATTATTTAAAAGTAAGTACATGCCTTAAAAGATTATCTGGTATCACTTTGAAAATGCAACTTGCAGAGTTGCTTGTTGCCTGTTAAAACATTAAGACAGCTGGCAAACTTTGTATGTGACATTATAAGGACTGAATAAACTACATTCACTTGTTTATTTAGTTAGGAAATCCTGTAATTACTTGCAAGAAACTGCAATTTTTCTCCCCAGAATCCCAGTTCAAATAAAGAGCCTAAGCATTTTTTTCTTTTTTTTTCAATAACAGGTACAAATTTTCATATTTTTCTCTCATTGCATTTGGTAAGAGACTAGGTGTGATTCAAATATCCTTTTTATAGCACAGACACTCAGAATCTATGTTCACACTGTAGTCATATTCAGAGTTGGTAATCCATTCCATTGCTCAATACTGAAATGCTTTAGTTTAGAAGACAGGACAACAGTTCATTGGTTCAGCCACACTTAGCAACCATGGGTGGGACAGTTCAGCTATATTTGAAATGATAATAAACATGATTACCTCTCCCCATCATCAAGCCATTTGTAACACCTGTTCAAGGTATAAATGCTGCTGATGTTCACTCAGCAAGAGTAAAATACATTAACAAAAACAAATGGAATTGCAATTTCAGTGGTGTGGTTTGAGGTGTATGTTATTTTTTGCTTGTTAGTTTGCTACAAAAACACCAGCATTACTTTCTCTGGAAGTGTCCTCTGGTGCTACACGCGAAGCAGCTGCACTGATGCTGCTACAGTGGGCAAGTTCATGTTTTCTACCCAGGCTCTGAGGCACCACTGCAGCGAGCTGCAAGCTGTGGCCAGGCTTTGTGCTCTGCAGCAGACTGAGGTTGACACTTAAGAGTGGTTGGAGATCAATGGAAAAAATCTCTTTAAGTCAAATGTGCTTCAGGTTTCCAAAAGGAACAGCACAGCAAAGAGTAGGTACGCAACTCTGCTCTTGTGTGGGAAGGAGTAGAGGACTGGAGAAGAATCTGCAGGTCTTGATTTTCTTGCAGCTGTTCCCAGCAGGAGAAAGCTGATAAACCAACATGACATGGGTGTTATCTACTGCAGCTCCTGCCTTCCAGAGAAAACACATCACCTAGTACTGGTGATAAAAGGAAGGAAAGTGGCTTGCTACCAGCCCTGGGGACAGAAGTCTGCCAGATAGGCTTAAAGAAAAAGTAACATATATAAAGCAGTTTTTGCCTGGGATCAATGAATCTATTCCACAGAGCTATTAAATTTCTTGTGATGATGAGAAAAAACCAAAACCAGCAGGCTTTAGACATGAGCTTCTGTAGTTTTGCAGAATGTTTAGGTACTTTATAATAAAGAACAGGCAGTGTATTATACAATTAAAACAACACTAATGCCAAGTTGACCTCATTTGAAAGGTAGGGAAGATGCTGTCCTACAGAATGTTGGAGAGTCCTGTGAAAACACTAGAGATTTTTTGTTTTAAAGGAGACAGATTGGCCTGTGAGAAAGAACACTGCAAAGAAACAAAAACTGAGATACTAATACTGAAACAGGAAAGGGATGGAGAGCATGAGACTAACACCAAAACCACCTTCCTGGAGAAGGCTCACAGGAGGACTGAGCTACAGCTCTGTTGAGGGCTGAGGCACAGCTTTGTGCTCACAGCAGGGAATGAATAACCCTGTCTGCAGTTTGGTTACTCACCTGCTTCAGCTGCTCGAGCCTGTCATCATCCTCCAGGAAGAAAGTCAGGTACATAAAAGAAACATCAACGTCACAGTTGCCTCCGTACTTCCTGTGCTCCTCAATGGTGTCCCTGCCTCCCGAGAAGGCGTGCTTGTTAATCTGAAACAACACCAGGAGCTCTGCTGTAATTCCCACCACAGCCTGGATTACTTTATTGCAAACAGAGATGCGTCATGATCCTCCAAATTCTTCACTAAGGATTAGCTGAGGAATGAGTGGGACAAGTAAAAGCAGAGCCTCAGGACTGCAAAAAGGAGGCCATTAGAACCCAGCAGGGAAAAATGGCTATAAACATACTCCTCAGACTGCATAATCAGAATAAAAAATAAGTGAAAATGAAAAAATAATCTACCCAAGACTCAATCAAAAAAGCTTTAAGTCCATTTTGCTGAAAATGTACTTCATGTAACAAAAATTAAGATATTTACTTTATCAAGAAGTTAATTTTGGAAGAGATAAAGAAGGCATGGAAAATCCTGCAGAAATCCTAGAGATAACCTTATCTCTTTTTGGGGGAAAGAAAAACAAGAGAAAGCAAAGTTAAACATTACAAAAGTCTGTCTAGAATGCTTAAAATCACACCAATGCCCAATTGCTCAGTCTAAAAATTGAGTATTTGCTGACAGCCTCCCTCTTTTTAAGCAGTTTCCTATAGGCAGATGAACAGCACTACTGAACAGATGTAATTGCTAATCCCATTCCCAATAAATGCAGAAATCACTGGCCTATTTTGAGCATTTATACATATGTAGAACTCTCCAAGAATGCTAATTGTCCCACATATTTAAAGAAAATAAATTGCTGAGTGGAAGAAAAAAAATATTTCTTAACCATATGCTGAGCTTTCATTTAGCTCTTGTATCTTTTGAGATACCATAATTAACCTGCCAAAAGACACATTTGCATATGAAGTAGTTTTTTTTTTTTTAGTTCTGGCATCTAGGAGCTGTTATATATCTACAATTTATGAACATTCCTATTATCTCTATAGACTGTCTAGTGCTTTTCTGAATCTCTCCAAGAACCAAGTTACAGACAAAGTCTTGTGGCAATGAACTACAATCAGAAATCATGCACTGATGAATATTTTAAGGCAATAAAATGCCATCTGCCACACACATCTATTCTTCTATTGTAGGGCAGTCTGAACAGCTGTCTCAGCATCTGTAAAATGAAGTTTTTACATACTCTTCTGCATTGACCTTCCTCCTTACAAGATTTTGTAAGTCTGTATGAAAGTTTTTCAATGCTCTTTATCTCTACAGTCCTAAACAGAAAAGGATTAAATACAACATGCCAGGTGAAAGCATTTTTTTGTTGAAACACAAAATGATTCCTTTCCTAATATCAAATTAATTTTTTTAGATATTCTGGCATCTACTCATTAACTGAAGGTTTCAGTGACCTATCCATAGTGATGCACTGATTTTTTTTCCCCTGAATTTCTCTGAATCCCTTAATATGTCTATAAACATAATATCTAAATAACACTTTATAGGAAAACAAACAAGTAACTGAATTGTAATTTGCTGATAGGTACAATAAGAATACTTTATTAAAATGCTGCCACTCATCTCATTAGATTACCCAGAATCCTCTTAGCCATTCCCAATACATAGTAATTTTTTACCTTCCATTATCTGTAAGTTTTGAACCTTATTAATTAGCAATGTACCAATAATCTGAAAAATGCTGTAAGCAGTAATTTTTTTTTTGTCCAGTGTAGCATTCTCTTTTTAACCTTCATTCATGACCAGAAGTCATCTCTCCTAATATGTTTTTTTAATTTATTTGCTGTAACAGTATTTGGTCTTTCACTCAAGCTGTATTTCCATAAAGACTTGTTTCTGATGGGCTTCAGAAGCTGAAGTAAATCTCAGCTTGTCCTCCATTACTCAACATTTTACATCATGTTCAGATTTTTCTTTATGTCTTTTCTATTCCAAGTAGCTAGAATTGATTTTTTCAACTAGTTTAAAGACAGTAAAATTAGGATTCATGAATGTGGATCTCATTGCAGATCACACATTAATTGCCAGGAAAAAAACATAGAAGAATGTTACCAATATTAGCATTAACCATGTATTCTCTATTCTGAAATTACAACTTTGTTTTTTTTTTTTTTAAAGCAGCTCTGTAACTGTGCAAATAAACTGGAATTATTATAATCCAAACACATGAAGAATTCCAATTCTTCAAAACAGCACTGCTTAATCAGTTTCTACAGAAGAGAAAGAAACATTATGGGGTGGCTGTTGAAGAGTCTCACCATAAGAGAATTAATCCAAGCCTGTCCAACAGAAACAACATTAACATATTTTCTTCTTGTTTTGACAGTTATTTAATGTCTGGTTTCATGCCTATATATTTCTTCCCAAGGACTGATTTTCATTTTCTTTCGATACCACAACACAGGTGAACTTTTGCAAAATTAGACCATCTGACATGAGATAAGAGCAATCTTCCTTTGAACTTAGGAACATCCTCAGAAGGAAATACCCTTTCTGAGTTGAATTTCAGCATAATGGTTATTTGTAAATTGGAGTGAGCAGATTTCTTTGTGAATTGGCAGCAATAGATTCTCAGGCAGCAGGAAAGGTCTGACCTGTTTTGAAACTGACACCATGCAATGTTTGGTACTCCCAACAAGGAGAGGCAGTCAGGAGAACGAGCTGCAGATAAGGTTTACATCATGGCCTGTCAGATTTCAAAACTATGGCAACATAATAATTATTTTAAGAGCATGAGCCCCCACAGCTCTTATTCTTACACCAGTGCTCTGCAGATATCAGAAAAACAAACACGTTTTGTACACTATCCCAGCTAATATTTGTACTGTCAGACTAGCTGGTAAGGAAAAAGATAATATATTTGATAGTCTAGCTAAATTTGCATAACTCAGTCAATTCCTGAAGATGCTTTGCCATGAAATGTACGGAAAACCTGGTTCATACATGTTCAAGGAAAACACTAAAAACTGTCACTGTAACCAGAAAGAACTCTGTAGGTAATGTCAGAGAGCTGACGGGGATATCAAGGTAGGAGCTGAGGGGGATGTCAGGTAGGAGCTGCGGGCCAACCTCTGCAGCACTTCTTGATGAAGCTGGAGACTATTCTACTAAAATGGTACCTATAGACATGGCTCAGTGGTGGACTTGACAGGGATAGGTTTATGGTTGAACTCTATGATCTTGAGAGTCTTTCCTGACCCAATAGAATCCTGTGATTCTATGACCTCTACTTTTTTCTGTAAAGCTTCATTCTGTCAGGTTTTGCAGGTCCTTACCTTTGTCTTGATTTGTTTGGGTGTATCAGTGAGGAAGATGGAGGAGTTTGGGTCACTAGCACTCATTTTGGTCTGTGCTCCTTGTAGGGCTGGGAAGAAGACTGAGTGGAGTAAGGCTGGTTTAGGCTGTCCAATTCTCGGTGCTACATCGCGGGTCATTCTAAAATAAGGATCCTAAAACAACCAATAAAAGCACAGAATAAAGTTGAAAAATGTGATTTGAAATCAATTCTGATTGACACCGACTCATTCATGCCATAAGAAGTGATGTCATAAAACTAAAAACTGAAAAAAAAATCCCCGTTTTTTTTCCTTTTCCATAGTGCTGTACACTCTGATTCCCTTAAGTAATAGGCATATTTACAAAATTTTACATTAATTCAAACAGTTACCTAAACTATGCTAAATATGCCTGGAGATGGATGCAGCCTAAGAGGAAAGCTTTCTCCCAAAGCACTTTAACAACCAGCAGAAAATCTGAACTAAATCAGCAAGCAAGCTGGCAGTGCTGTGCTGGTGATGTGACTTAAACCAAAGTGAAATTTTACGTCATAATATTGTGGCTGATTAATATGATTACATCATCTTCCAGTGTCTGTCCCTGTGACTAAAATAGCTAGAGATTCAGACAGTGCAGGATGTGATTCCTAGAAATACTACTTGTTTATTAAACACCCTATTACTCTAATTTGTATCTGATGTTCTTTCAGTTCTCTCTCAATCTGAATTGTTAAGGTTCTGCAGCCTTTCTGGCAAACTATTTCTGGCAAAATATTTCTGTATTTTTACTGAGAGAGGGTTTTCCCCATGGTTCAACAGAAATCTCTTATGCTGCAAGTTGAGCTCATTCCATCTTGTCCAAGTCACCATGAAGATGGCCAAAAGTTTCTTCCTACCCCCATGTCAGTGTGCTTTTGCATAGATGTTACAGTCTTTGCTTTCCTAGATGTCAGCTCAGTGTGAATGGAGTTGAGATCAAGAGAGATACAAGAGTGGATGAATACATGATTGTTGGGTTAATCCTTCATCTTTTCATCTTTTAGGTCTTTCAGTTTCTACCTCAGAAAAGTCCTTGCAGGAATGTTTTACAGATGCCTTGAGAAACCACCATGAAATCTGAATGGTACAATGTAACCCCAAATCCATGAAAACCAAATTAAGCAATGATTTTCTTACCTGGTCAATTGCACATGGGATAAGACACTGAATATTCTCTTTGCCATTGAATATCTGTGGAAACGATGAACTGAAGGATGGAGCAGCTTGGATAGCAGGAAAGCTGATCTTACCTAAAAAACATGTTTGGAAAAGCTAAGCAGTCAACAGGAGCAGTGATAAATAGAGAGAATTTTTTGCAGTATGTAAAAATGCACAAGTGAATCATCCAAATACTTAGCTGAAGACCAAGCTCTATCTTTATCCATCACTGATGCCTTATCTGAGGAAACTTTTTCACCTTTACTTTCTGCAATGTCAACAAACCTTCAGCTGACATAGAAATTAATGACAAAAGGCAAGCTGTGACCACACTGACTTCAGCAAAAGTTTGTCACTGCACACTCTCTTGATCATTAAACTATCTGCCCTTTCCAGAAACAGAATTGACTAAGCTTTCCAGTTTTTTTCACTTTGTGAGAGAATTGCTACAGTCATCACATAAGCTTCCCTCTAAGATCTTAAATCACTGCTATAATCACTCTGTGCTCATGGAGGATCCTAGATATACCCAGTTTTCTTTTTTATACAGGGTTTAATCCCAGCGTGGCCCCCCTGGAACTGATCAAAGTCCTGTCAGAACAGACAGCAAGTGGTGGACTTTTACACACATGTGATGAAGTCATACCATCCTTTATCAGAGCACTGCTAAAACAAGTGGAAACCTGTTCCTTGGTTACAGTGAAGGCTGAAAGTTGTAACTGGCCTAATTACTGGATGAAGAATGCTCAGGAACATCCAGGATTTAATGTCATTTTTACACAGGATCTTTTATCTTGGCCATGTGACAGAAACCTGCAATTGCAGTGAAATAAATGGAAGACCTGAGTTACCCAGCACCTTGATAATCAGGCTATTCAGCACTCATTTTTTTTTTTCACAGATGTAAATCCTATGTGTATTAATGCAACTTCTTCTCAAAAGTTTATTTAGAAATTTAGCATAGAAATTTCTAGAACGTAAGACTGCCTATAGCTCCAATCACTGTAACAAAAGAATAAAAAAGAAAATAGAAAAAGTCATTTTCTGTTTTGGACTCCTTAACATTTTTGTTTTGTACTTTGCTCTTACTAAAGTTAAGAAGGTAGAAGTTATGCTAGAAATTTCATTGTGAAGTGTGTTCTATTCTGAAGGAACAACAATAACATCAGAATCTGCCTAGAAACAGAATCCCCCTGCTTTTTCTGTCTGTTTCATGAGTGGCAGACACTAATCTCTTCAAACTATTACTTGAAATAGCTCAATTGAAAGTGAAAGCAAGCACTGTTTCTTGTAACTAGTACAATTTCCTACCAATGCAATCACTGTCTGTAAAGCCAAAGATTCCTTTCACTTGGTTAAATGTGACATGCTTCTGAACTTTGACAATGTTCTTGTAGAATCCAGCACTTGTCCTGTGAGAAAAAAAATGTGGAAAAATAAAATGAGAAGAGGAGGAGAGTATATGTACAAACTTTGATTGCAAAAGCTGACAACATCAAAAACCTGCAGGATTAAATCTCACAGTTTCAGACTTTTTGTGGCCCATTGAGATGATAATTAGAGAATCATTTACACTTAACTTACACTTAAATTTTAAAGGTATAAACAGGAATTTTATGCCTTTAAAGTTTAATTTATTTTTCCCTTCCCCCAATAATTACTACAAACATTCTTCTTTGAACTTCATTCAATGCTGAATAATTAAAATAACTGACCACAACAAGTTGCTGCAATGCTTTCTGTTAAAGCCAATAAAGTGTAAACACATCTGAGAGATTTTGATACTATCTTAAGCAAGTCAATCAGGAAATTTCTTGGTGGTTTAGGTACTTTTACACTTTCGCTTGTTTAATATATTTATCATAATTTACATATTGCACACATATGTATTTGTTCATATGTTATACAGGAGAATGAAAATAATATATATAGAAAATGTTAGACAGAAGAAAAAGTAATACGTTTCCATTTCAATAATATGTTTCAAAATAAATTTGAAGCTTTCAAATTTAGACACACTTATTAAAACACCGCTGGTAGTCAAAGTCAGAGAGAAAATACAGACACTTTTTTCACTACAATGCTCAAAAGAAATTCATACTTACCCTAAATAGTCTAAATCCGAAAATATAAAGGTTTTATTGATGTCAAAACCACATGCAATGATGTCTTTTGCATTTTCTCTAGCGTATTCATATGCCTTCTCAACTGTCATGTCCTTCCAAAGGTATTTCTCATCATCAGTTAACTGTATTACCAAGGGAACATCAAATACTTCTTGAAGCCACCTAATAGAAGCAGACATGTTTTATCCTAAATTAAGTTAAAATGAATATATAAATCATGCAGCCAAAATATTTTTATATTTAAATAGTATATGGAGAGGTCTGCTCTTTTCTTTGTAGGCATATGCAGTTATATTTATGCGAACAGATAAAATGTTTTATACAGATGATAATGACAACGTGCCTAGAAGAAAGTCTCACACTTACTGTTTCCTGTACACATGACAGAAGTCACCAGTTGCAAAGGAACCAGAACTCAAAGAGGTTTTACCTTTCTGAGCCCAATGTCTCTGTGTCCTGCTGCTGCAGGCAGCACCTTACAGAGTGATGTTACTGAGTCTTGTAAGGAACTGGATTTAGGAACAGCAGAAATTCTAAGGAGTGCCACAGGGCTAAGGCAGTAAGGAAGAAGGCTTTATGGTGATGCAGGGATTGTGATCATTTCCGTGAAAAGGTAAGACTGAATTAAATTCATTACTATTCACTTCACATAATCAGAACTCCTTGCAATGTATCATTTTGGCATTTTCACAAGCCATGTTCTATGTTTCTTTTGAAAAACCTCTTTGATTAATACAACCGGTAGAAATAGCTTACTTTGTGAACAAAAATGGGATGAGATGACCAACGTGCATTGCCTGAGAGGATGGCCCTCTTCCTGTATAAAGGTAAAAGGGCTTCTTGTTTTCATAAGCATCAAGTATTTGGTCCATATCTCTAGAGAAAAGAACAGAGAAAATAAGATACAACTCTTTAGCAAGAAACATCTACAGTAAAAAGCCTTTATTCAAAATCAGATTGTTTTTAAAGCCAAAAGTATTTATAAATAAATTACAGTATGTTAGGTGTCCTAGAAATAAGAAAGTTCTTGTTTAGTCATTTTTTAATTTAAGAAAAGCATGGGCTCCTTCAGTCTTCATGGGGACAAAAGAAACTCAAAGAAAAATGAAATCAAAAGGGAAAATTTTATGTTGCAATTGTGCAAATTTTAAAATTACTTCATTGGATAATAATCTCTAGAGCCTAACAAAACAGCCAGGGACCATTTCTCAAAGAGGTTCAACCAAGCAGCTTAGCTAACCTCTGATAGATTTTGATACTGTCTTAAGCAAATCAATCAGGAAATTTCTTGGTGGTTTAGGTATTTTTACACTTTAGCTGGTTTAATATATTTTTCATAATTTACATACTGCACACATATGTATTTGTTCATATGTTATACAGGACAGCGAAAATAATAGATATATAAAATGTTAGACAGGAGAAAAAGTAATATGTTTCCATTTCAATAATATGTTTCAAAATAAATTTGAAGCTTTCAAATTGACCTCTGGTAGAGGTCATGGCCTCAGTCATGCCCAGGCCCTTCTATGAAACCTGCTGGTGCCACAGCCCCAAATCCCCTGTGTGCTAACAATTACACTGTGAAGGTCACTGGCAGGCTCCTGCTTAAGATTATTCCCTGATCCTTTTCTGTACCACAAACAGATGCATGGGAGCCCAGCTGAAACCAACAGTGGCACCTGCAATTCTCTGCCAGGCCACTGCCTCTGGCTGCTGACAGAGTCAAAACGAGCCTGCACTCTGAGCACATTTCTTCAGCCTGGGGTTCCTGAGGACACATCAGAAACCCACGCAATCAAGAGCTTCAAGTGTTGCCAGGGGAAATCTGCAATAGTTGCTAATTTCAAATGGCACAGTTGGTTTGCCTTGGCATAAAAGCACACGGGTTTTGCTAGTTACAGGCTTCTCCCAATAATTCTTGCAGGAAGTCTGCCCAACAGGACCTTTTGAAGTTTTATAATAAAAGAAAAACTCACCTGTGGGAAAAAAAGATTCCTCTACGTAGAAAGTGGTGAGGTTTTTGCCCAATAGCTCTTTCTATTCGATTAATCAGATCTGTGTCAATTTTACTGCTGCCAAACCGAACTATAATCACAAAATGTTAAAAAAAAATTAAAATAAGCACAGCATAGCTACAACCAGATCTTGGAACACCAAGAATATACCAAATACAGGCTAGATTAAAAAAGATATTTTCAAGTCAAAAAGTCAAAGTCAATTTTTCTGATTCTTGCCTGAAGACCCAGCAGTCACCTCCAGTATTATCTCTATGCTAGGGGACTCAGCTCACTCACAACATGCAGTATTTCTCCATCCACAAATTACTGTAATTGCAGTCTCCTTACAGCAGAAGCATTGATATTCCAAGCATAAAACCATGCTAAAGAAACACATTCAGATCACCAACTTGGCCTAAGCCATACAATAAAAATCCCTATGAAACTCTGAATGATTCTCTCTCGATGTCTGAATTTTCTGCTGTCAGACAACATCTTCTTTTGCTTTCACTCAAACAACATCACCAACCCCAAATACTCTTCTGCAAACTTAATTCTTTTTTAATATGTATATGATTACAGACACTGCTCCCCTCAAGAGGCTTGAAAAGGAAATGCATAATGCTCTTCATGGCAATCAGTAAGACTTATGCCTTGGTGGTTTAGGAAAGACTGTGATAGACCAAAATAGCAGTATTTTCCCTATTCTCAGTAATTCTGGGATCCTAATAATCAGGACAATGTTCTATGATTTAAACTTGTTGGAAAAAAATCTATTTAAGAATCTACTGCTTGCTACTGTTCTGCTCTATTCAATATTAGAACTATTCAACATTGCATTAATAAAATGCAAAATGCATCACAAAATGGCAAATGATAATCTGAATGAATGCTAAAAAGAGATCAAATGAGCATGAAAATGATTCGGCACATCAACAGCAACTGGTAAGAAGCTAATCTGACAGCAACAGAAAACATGAAAATGCCCCAGATTAACTGGGACTAGCTACCCTAGAAATATTCATGTACTGTCATAGAAAGTGATTAGAAAAGCTCTCTGGGGTATAGAACACTTCACTGGAAATGCCTAAATATTTTTATTAAACATTCACAGGCTGCACAACTCCCTTTTCTTTGCCCATGTTCACCTTTTCTCTTAAAAAAATTGATCATTTTTCCCTATCTATTTCCTCCTATTTGAATGTTCAGAACATCTGTAACAGATTACAGGTGGCACAAGAATTTCCCTTAGGGTAGGAGCTATCCAGTGTAACAAGTTTTCAGACAATACCTTTAATTGTTATTTTTAAAAAGGGAAGGAAAAGAAGGAAGCTTATCAATATCAACCAGCAACTGCTTCACATCCTGAAGTGGCTAAACTAGCATTCTCTGAAAAATTTCCAGCATAGCACTTAGAAACAGCAAAATGACTCATTTATCAAATTCGCTATCTGAAATTAGTGTAAAGAAGCAAAAAACCTTTAGGCTAACCCACACTCTATGGAAGATGAAAGGTCTTATGTACATAGTTACTGGAAAAAAAGGGCATTAACTGATTTATAGTAAGTAGTTTTCAGGAAGATCCTGAGATTGTGCCATCACAATTGCACACTTCATCATTTTCTAAAATGCTCAGAACCCCTCCCTCCAAGAAAAAAAACCCAAATCACTTCTCTGTAATTCTTATGCAAGTAACAAGATTATGAGAGATCTTTTCCACTTCCAGATTCCAATAAATATTTTTTTCCTTCTCTCACATTGACCTATATTTTTCTTTGCACACTTCTCCCTTTCACACTTTCTCTTTCTCCTGTTACTTCATGCAGACTCAGCCAGTTTGTGCATACATTTGACACAATCTCTCAGTAACATCACAAAGAATTAAAATAATGCTGACACAAGCAACTGTCCCAAAAGCAAATGTGATTACTGCAACATAAGAGTGAATGCTCTATTGTGAGAAAGAAACTACTAAGCAGACCTCAGCAATGTACAATTGACATACTAAACATGAATTGAAGATTTACAATAATAAAAAAAAGGAAAATCAGAGAAATTAATGAATAGTTCTCTAACTTGTTTCTATGCTAGACTCAAAAAAGTTATTAAAACAGCAAACTGTAAAATCAATAAGGAAATTACCTAGACCTGTTTCTTAAACTACAAAACTTTGCAAGTTTTGTGATAACCCCATCTGAAATATTTTCCATTACACTGCATGTTTTTGAATGAGCTGCAACTCCTTCACTCCAGCCAGCACTTGGCTGCCTCTAAGTGTACCTTCTGAAGCAGTCATTAGACTTAATAGATTTCTGCATTAGTTCTGGATCATTCCTGCCTTCTCTAATCTATTAAGGGATGGGAGGAGCGGGTAGGAAGAATCCTTCTGGCTGGTCAAAATTCTGCATTCCAGTCACTGAATTCTCAGTCACAGTGTCTTCATTAGTGTAATTTCTAAAAACAGTCCTTACACTAAAAAAAAACCACATTAAAACCTGGATTTTGAACTTAAAAGTTCTTTGCAAAGTATTTAAGTATTTCATAGGAAATCGCCACCTGGGACATTTTCATCTCTTACAGCAAATTCTTTAGACATGGAAATGCTAAGATTAGACATAAATTAAATGTTACCTATGATGTTTTGATCTGGATTTGTTATGATGCCTTGCTGTTTCTGTGGTCATTAGGATCACTTTACATAAATTCCTTAGTAGCAGTGAAGGAAGAGTTATACCTATGAGCTTGTCATAATCCACGCCTTTAGCATTTGATGTCTGCACATTCCAGGGATCCACTAAATCCTCATCCTCTTCTTTAGTTGTACCATTGTTTATTAATACAAGATCTTTTGGAGGCAAGCCTGCCTGATAATCTTGTCCTGTTGTTGTTTTATATGACAGTTTTAATGATAAGAGCATCCTCACTGCTGCATCAATTTCATCCTGAATCAAGGAAAAAACCCAAACAACTGTTTGCCTTAACATACTTAAAATAGACAATTACATGAATGTCCCAACCTCTCAAAATCCCACATCCATGCTTTGATCTGAACTGCATCATTAATAAACCCTAAACTCTATTTTATTTAAATGTTTTTGGCATCAATGTCAAATGTAGAAGATAAGCAAATACTTATTCATTAGAATATAAATCATCACCATTGCCAAGACATTTAAAGCACCTCCATCTTGCTTTTCAATTTCTGCCTAGGAAAAAAATGCTTGCTTGCTTTTCAGAGGTATAACAAGCTTAACACTTTTACCATAAATTTCTAAAGGTATATAAATAAAATATAAACTATTATCTAATTTACTTTATAATGCTTTTAGTGGCTCACCTTAAAACAATTTATTGATTACAATTCATTGATAGACTTGAAGACAAACTAGAACAAGAAATTATGGTTATGACCTCTCTAATATAAAGCTACTGTAAAATCTCATGCAAGCAATAAATAGAACAACACTTTATTTGACTCCCAGTTTTCTCCCACAGGCAATACATTAAGAAAGCCCATTTTAAAACTGAGCTCTCCTTGCCAAAATAGTGATGACACAATAGGGAACCTGAAATAAATGGCAAGTTACTAAATTATTTAAGGGAGATTAAGAAGGGACTGTCAGTACAGTTACAGGAAGACATACTTGATAATGTCTACAATAATGCCTGGAGAAAAAGATTTTCATGAACCATCTAAAACCAGGGAACAATGCAAGTGACATACATTTACTTGAGAAATAAATGCTTTGGATCCTGTCACATGGTATAGCAAGTGGATGAAGCAGGCTTCTAAGCCTAGGACTCTGTTCTTAATTCAAGAGTAAAAACTTCAGTCTTGCCAGTGACAGCCTTACTCCAGGTATGCCACAGTTCACAGAATGGACATAAACAGTTTTCAACAAGGATTTTCAACAAGCATTTCTCATCAAAATGCAAAACAGATCTTAGAACTATAGAATTCTTCAGCACTCAAAGCCATACTTAATCTAAAAAAAAATGGGTTCAAAACAAGAAATGCAAATACCTTTGGTGCTTTTCCTGCTTTCAGTGCTCTGACTTTCTCTCCTTGTTCAGTCACTCTTTCAAACAGCTGAAGTGGACTCAGAGACTTCAAATCACAGTTCAGGCTGTCAGCCATTTTTGCCAGACTGCACAAAGATCTGTTTAGGTACAACTCAACTGAATTTATCCTCTTCCAACTCTTTGGCTGGGAGATTCAAAACAGCAGCAACAAAGAGAACTGTAGGGCAAACAGTAGTATGTTTTACTCTTTAGTGTAAGTCTTCAAGATTAGGTGAATAGAATAAGAAACTAAAAACTATACTGATTCCTACCACATTCTATTTGTATCAAATTGACAAATGTGGAGACATTACACAGTGAGCTTCAGTTTCACACAAAAATGGACAGAGACTGACAAGACCACTAGGTAAATTTAGACATCACTGTTCGTGTTGTGTATGTATTTAACACTAGAACACCTTTTTAAAGGTGTTTAAAGGTGAAAGTAAAGGTGCTTTTAAAGGTGTTTAAAGGTAAAAGTGTTTTAAAGGTGTTTAAAGGTGAAAGTCTCATCATCCAGAATTTGACAGGTATCAGTGCAGAAACATTAGCTGATCAGGAATTAACTAATCAGATAGCCTCTATCAGATAGCCTGGTAGAGGCTATCTGATTCCTGATTAGTTCATGTTCCTGCACTGATACCCTGTCAAATTTTGGATTATTAGATTTTCATAACTACAATACAAAACTTTGTCTTTGTAATAGAGTACTTCAGCCCAAAGAAAGATACACAAGAGCAAACCCTTCTTTATGGTTTTCCTCCAGAAGTTACAAAACACATTGATGATTGGTGAGAAATGTTGCTTTCCAAAGAATCCTTGGGTCAGCAATAGGCTGACTAAGCAGGAAAAATAACAGCAGATGCTTTAAGATGAGGAGATGGCTGAGACTAAGAACACAGCAGTCTGCCCAAGCATGCTCTGCCATGCCGTGCCTGTGTCCACCCAGAGGGAAGCTCTGTGCCCATGTAAAAAACTTGCAAAGGTCTTGTCTCTCTGGAGACACCCCCTAGCAAATTTCTGATCCACTGCAGTGCATGGAGCACAGATCAGTTGAGTGTTAGTAAAAATACACTTTCCTTTGGCTCCCTTTTCCCAGAATTAAAACAAACAAAAAATCCACGCAAACTGAAACCTAATATAATAGCTGCATTAGCTGTTCAGCAGTATTTCAAAGCCTTCCTGCCTTCCTTCTACAAAGTAATCATCTAATCATAACCTTGGTTATATGTACATAGTGCTTATTTAAGCTGCTACTGTAAAAAGCTTTCACCTGCCTAGCAAACTTTGAAGGTCGATTTGGTAACCAGGTGGTTACCAAAACACACCTATAATTAAGACTTGGTTTGCCAGTCAGCTGCAATATTCCCACATTTCAGCTTCTGCTGAGAAGTGGATACATCCACTTGTTAATGTAATTTGTTTACTGTATTAACCCTTGGATTACCATACTTATATTAGATAATAATACTTAAGTTTTTAACCTAATTTGATCCCTTATAACTTGACTTTTTTCTGTTTGAAAGTGTGATTAAAAAAAAAAAAAGTAATTTGAAGCAGATCAAACAAATTTTTGATGCATTCCTGCAATTTAATTACATATTTTCATATTTTTATTTGGATATTGCCTTCCTCTTCTTCATGAGCAGAGAATATTTTAAGTGTTAAAGAAATTGTAGAATAAATGCATATTAGAAAAGGTTTATGAAGATTAACACACACCCCTTCTATAGGAACATGCCATTTATATTTACTGGCTTCAAATTTCAAAAAATAATAAAGACATAAATAAGAATTTTCTTTGGTGTAGAACAAATTGTGACTTGTTGTTTTAGTTCAATTCCTTACAGTACAGTCTTACTGATGGATGGCCTCCATTCAGAAAAGCTGAAATGACACCTGACACTTGGCACATATACTGGAAAGCAGCAAACCAGACTCCTTAAAATGTCTGGAATATTATGGATTTAAGCTGAAAAAAGAATCTCAAATGAAGATGCATCTTCATTAAGAAGTAGCAAAAGTAATCCAGGTGGTGCAACAAGACATGAGGATACTCTGACTATAAAATGCAAGGCATATGGACTGCTACCTAAAGGTTATCTCTATTTACCTCACTACTGCCCCTATTTGCTACTGGAATTCAAGCCAGGAATTAAGTAATGTGGAACACAGCTCTTTTGAAATTCATTAAAGCAATTGTGAACCACTAAAAAGAAATGTCTAGATATTCTACTATTTATCAGGATTTTTTTTCTCTCTTATTGACATTATAAAAATTAACAGTCCCAAATTCCGTACCATAGGCAAACAGATCTGATGGAAAAAATGATGCATGGGAATGGGAGAATGAACTATTAGGATATTTAGCACCAGAGTCTAGAATGGTCCAATGTGAACTTGAAAGTCAAGACATGTGTGGCTTTTCTACCTATGAAATGCAGGAAACTCATAATGGGTACTGCTCCTGTGTCCACTTCAAAATATTAAGTTGCTATGAGATAAAGCTCAAAAATAATCCTTGGCAAAGGTATCAGAAAACTACTGCATCTTCCTCCCTTTCCAACTGGCTGACCATCACAGATCTATGATCATTTTCACTGTCTGCAGTCTGACTTGGTAAGTTAGAGACCTGAGAATGAAAAAACAGGGTTTCACATTAAGTTAAGAAGACAAACATTGCATGAAAGTACATGATGACTTTCAGAGACAACAGTAATACATCAGACCAGAACAAGCTTTCATGAGCAAATGAAAGAATGTAAGACTGAGTCTAAAAGCACTTACATTCCTGAAAACTGCTTTTCCTCCTGTAAAAAAAAAAAAAAATTCAGAACAAACAAACAAAAAAAGAAAAGTAAAATTAAAGTATGTAGAAAATAAGAACTGGGCATCCACATAGATGTCATGTGAAACAGCCCTTGACAGGCACTCCAACAGAGGCTGCACTTTCTAGCAGACCTACCTTCCCAGTCATGGCAAACATCAATTTATGCACGAAATTACAACAAACGAGTGCAGGACGAATCCCCAAGCTGACAGATAACGTGACCATTCAAAGACTGAGGAGTAACCAGCAGAACGCCTCACATGAATCTTGGCCATGCTGCAGCTGTGCGAGAGCAAAGCTGCCGTGCAGGGAAGGGCTGTGCCCAGAATTGCCGTGCAGGGAAGGGCTGTGCCCAGAATTGCTCCTGATGCCAAAGCTCCCCAGCCCCGCGTCCTGCAGCGCTCCCTGCCCCGCCCGGGCCCCGCACAGCCGCCCGCAGCGCTCCCTTCGTGCGCCGGGATGCACTTTGCAGTGCCCTGCACACCCCGCGCTGCCCTTCGCAGGGAAAAGGGCGCCTTCCCCGGACTCTGTGGCGAGGCAGCCCCGCAGGGAGTGGAGGAAAAGCCCCCAAGTGCATTGAGGCATCTCAGGGGGAGGGAGAAAACGTGTGCGGCAGAGACCCTCCACACCCGGCGCCTCGCAGCGGTCACGGGGCGGCAGTGAGCACCCAGCCAGCCCCTCTCCCGCCGGCCGGGGTCTCTCTGCGGTGCCGGTGCCCGTCCCGGTGCCCATCCCCACCCCGGCCCGTCCCGGCGCCGCTCACCCGCCGCTCTCCGTCACCACCATTGCATCAGCCCCGCCCGCACGGCCGCGCGGCTCCCGGCTGGGAAACACAGCCCGCCGGAACCATTGCCTCACACCGGCCTCCCTCGTGCGCCAGTCCCCAGCCCAAGCAGCGCTCTCCATTCCGCTCGCAGCGGCGGAAGAAGAGCTTCTGCCCCCTCACAGAGCCGCGCTCTGGCCGCTGCCCTTCCCGACACGCCGCCCCAGCGCGGGGCTGCGACACGCGGAACTGTTGGAGTGGGTTGCCTTGTTTCCACCCGGCGTGTTTTTAGGAACGGCGCGGCGGCGGTCGACAGGTGAGTTCCGGGAGCGGCGGCACCGCGGGAATGGGGACTGGGAATGGGGACCGGGACCGTGACCGTGACCGTGACCGGGAATGGGAATGGGAATGGGAATGGGAATGGGAATGGGAATGGGGGCCGGGAATGGGGACCAGGAATGGGAATGGGGACCGGGAATGGGGGCCGGGAATGGGAATGGGGGCCGGGAATGGGAATGGGGACCGGGAATGGGAATGGGGGCCAGGAATGGGTACCGGGAATGGGAACCGGGAATGGGGATCGGGGACTGCAGGTTCCGCAGTGACGCGCCCGGGTGGGTGCTGAATGTCTCCGGACAGGGAGAATCCGCGCTGAGCAGCGTGTCCCAGTGCTCTGCCCCCCTCCATGAAAAGAAGCGATTCCTCGCGTTGAGGTGGAACTGGTTGTGTTGTAGTTCATGGCCCTTGTTTATGCCCTGTCGCTGGGCACCACTAAAGAGCCTGGCACCATCCTCTGGGCACCGCCTTTGAGACATTTGTGTGAATTGATGCGATCCCCTCTATTCTCCACACTAAACACGTCTCCCACAGTCTCTCATAAGAGATGCTCCAGACCCCTCATCATCTTTGTAGCCTCCATTGAACCCTCTCCAGTAGCTTGTTCTTTCCCCCTGGGGGCTGTGGGACTGTGCCTCCCGCCGTGAGCCACCTGCGGTGCTCTGTGCCTTGTCACACCTCTGCTGTCATCTGTGCCTTGTCACACCTCTGCTGGCATCCGCGGGCACTGCGCCCCTCAGGCTGAGCACTCTTCTTCCATGCCTTCACATAAATCAGTCTTGTGGAAGCCGAGGAAAACCAAAATGCTACAAACTTCTCTTTTAGCTCAACACATTGCACATCACATCGTGAATAAACTCAGTTTAGTTACAGGATGGTTCCAGTCAAGTACATTGTTGTTCCCCCCGACCCCCCATTTATCTTTGGTTAGGGCAGTGACTCTGGGTTGTGTTTCTTTAAAAAGAAAAGTGGATGGGAAGTGTTTAGATGAGAGAGATGCTTTATTCTTACAAAAATACTGAGGTTTATGGGTGATGGGTGTGGTGGGACGGGTTTATGCTGACCAAATCTAATGGGACACTTTCTTTCCATTATCTCATGGGAAACATTTTTAACCTTGTGTTTGCAAGGCACTATCTGGCACTTCTGAATTTCAGCTTGGGTTTTTTTTTTGTGTTAAAACAAACTAAAGTAACTCTGTAAGTCTAACCTAATCCACTTGTGTATCCTAGTTTATAGCTTTTAGCCAGAGGTCAGCTTCTTACTATATCTGTTCTTTGGGCATGATGCATTTGGCCGGGAAATGTGTTTAGCACTGCAATACAAACAGTAACCACTTGATACAATTACTGAAGTGAAGCCCTTCAAAGCTCCTATTTATTTGATGTTTCAACGTACTGCTAGGAACTTCAATTTCCTGTTTTTGAATTGATTTGTTAATTAAGTTTTCATGAAACACTACTTTTGTTTTGTTTAATGAAATATTGTTGTAATAAATGAAGGTGTATTATTAAAAAAAGATTTTTTTCCTTGCTCTTCCTTGCTGTCACTTAGAGCTGTCTTAAGCTTCAGATAATGACAAAATGTCCTCTAGAGGGAGATCTTGTTGCTTTTATGTGCTGAAATGTTGGTCACCTTGTTCCAGTTAAATGTCTTGATCACTTAGCTTGGGAAGGATCTGTGGTGATGAATGTGTGTATCTGAATAAGTACCTATCTTCTGGATCTGTGCTTAGAAATTTGATAACAGAATCTAGAGGCATGTAACACTTCTGTAGGTTATGTGAAACAGAGTTGTTTTGATTCAAATAGATCTAATTCTGAAGTTAAATGAGTTATCTTTGCAAGTTCCAGAGTCCTGCTCCTGCAGAAGTGTTTGTAGGGCCTACGTCTGTGGTGTGTCTGCATTTGTGGTGTCAATTCTGCAAATGCTTATGAAGATACTGACTTTCATGTGTTCCCTGTTGTCATCAAGATGCTTTTGAGGGCAGTTTCTTTGCTGACCTGAACCAATAATTTCAGCAACGTGTCTGAAAGTGTTGTGGGTTAAATCTCTTCAGCGTAATGAGTGCTAACAGCTTGGCAAGGAAACAAAGCAGTAATAAAATGTCACATTTAATCAATCTTACCAGTGCTTCTTGCCTATAAATGGCAGAGGTTGAAATATTACCTTGCAGACACATCAGTTGTTTTGAATGTAGTTAATTCTATACTGCACATACTCCATACGAATTGTTGGGAAATTCTTGGTGGGATTATTATGAAGGTGAATTATTCTGCATGTTACATATGCAGTCTTGACATGAGATTCTTTCTCCTGGACATATTGAAAAAATTTATTTCACAGTTGAGGCATCTATGCTCTCATTTTTCTGTAAGCAAATGCAAATAGTGAATTTAATGTAGCTTCTGACATATCTGATCTGTAAAACTAAAGGCTGTGTGGAACATGCTGTGTGGATATAATTGGAAAATTTCCTCATACTGCAAGGCTGCTGAGGAGGTCAAAAATGTGTTTACACTTTAACTGCCAGTTGAACCCCTACACACTTCTTTCAAGTCATCTGTAGTGTTAAGGAATAGATATTGTTAGATTGACTCCAAAACAGTTGTAGTACTTGTATTCTTATAAATGTACAAAACCACTACATAATTAATTAATTTCTTCTCTCTGTGTGTGGATGTAATGCTGGAAGTAAGGCAAAGTAATTTGCTGTATTTATATTATAAGGTTGTTTTCCTTTTCATCCTCATTGTCATTGTTTTGTGGCATGCAAATACATCTCTGCAATGCATTGAAAATGTATGCAAAGGGCTTGGAGGCAAATCGTGTTGCTTAATAGAATGTACAGTATGTTATAATAAATTCCATTAATAAACAGAAAGAAGAGTTTTGATTTTTTTTAAGAAAGGCATATTTATATCCCTAAGTTACTGAAATTGTAGACTCTGTAATTAATTGTGCTCTGAATGATCAATTCTTTATTTTAGATCATAATTTTGGAGGATTGCAGTATTGAGATCTCTGGAGTCTGCTGTGTCTAGCCATAATGAGTTTGGTTGCTTATGAAGATTCAGACTCCGAGACAGAAACTGAAAAGGCTGAAGCCCCCAATGCTTCTGGCAGACAAACAAACCAGCTGAGTTCTCCTGTGAGTTGTGTTCAGCACTTTGCACCTGGTAATACAAAATCTACACGTGAAATGCACCCTGCAGGGAGCACTGGCAGATCTAGCAGCACAGTTTGTGAAGATCCCCCTGAGCTTTATGCACAGAATAACAACACTGACTTGGCACCTCCCTGTTGGCAGAGGGTGTACTCTGCCCATGCTGCATCATCTGTGGCTTACAGAAACTATGAACAGGCTTCAAGCTCTTCAACAAATTCTGGAAATGGCCTTTCCCAGAAGAGAACACATAAAGACAGCACTGCTACCATCAAAGGAATTAGACCATATATCCCTAAACGATTGCGTCAAGAAAATTCCAGTAAGCCTGAAAAAGAACCTGAGCAGAGAGGTAGCTCAGATTGTGATGTTGAGTTAAGAGTATCAGGAGAGCAGACTTGGAGAAAGACTTCTGAATTAATTAAGCCATATTTGGGATCTAAATATAAAGTAACTGAAGTTCCCAAAAGCTTAATATTTTACATGTCTAAACACAGCGGCCCTGTTAATGAAATCCAGTGGTGTCCTGTACGGGAACAAAGTCACATGCTTCTCTCAGCTTCTATGGACAAAACAGTCAAGGTAATGTAAAACAAGATGCTTGGTGGCTCAGTCATCAGACTTCAAAATGTTGTTGTTCAGTGCTCTTCTGGAAATATCCTTGCTTGTGTGCATTTAACAGTTCCAACATACTCAGAATTTGAGGAAATGCTTTATAAGATTATTATAAACTTGCAGCCTAAGTCTTCACTATACCCACAGTTAGTTCATTAGCTTGGAATTTGGTGGTTTGTTTTTTTAAAATTTTTTAATATCTAATTTTTTTTTTTAATTTTAATCATGTTAGTGTTTTCAACCTTAAGAAGTTAGATTTCTGCTAAGCCATTTCTCATGATCTCTATCAGTGTTTTATCACAATGGCCATGAGCACTAGGGTATGCACATGGATTCTGCCACGAGTCATTAAGCAACTAACTACCAACACTGGAATAATATTTTTAATTACTCTGACAGGCCTGTATGACATCTGCTGGAGGAGGTAGATCAGGTCAGATGGATTTTGTATCTCAGAACTGTGTCTTGTCATGACCTAAGGGATCTTCCTACTTTAATTTCTTTGAAGGGTTAATTGCTTAATACTCAGAGTGAGTTTTCTTCTTAGCTTTAATGAATTTGTCTTCAGTTCTTTGGTAACTTAGTCAGTCCAATGAGGCTTTTGTTTTTATAATGGGTATATGCTTTCCCAGATATAGGGCTGATTGTGCCTCTGAATTCAAATAATAGTTTTCTGAAGTGGCCTTGCACAGGAACATAGCTTTGATAAGAGTGTGCAGAAAGTGTCCTTTCTGGTGGAAGACATGCTTTATTGCATCCAACATGTATTTACCATGGCAGGCAAAATTATTTTCCTGCTTCTAAAATTTAGGACTTTAGTAAATCTTAAGAAGAACATCCCTTGTACCAGCATACCAACATAGTTCCTCCATCTTCTTTACCAGGATTTTGAAACCTCTTTTTCTTAAACATTAAATGTAGGAAAAAAGCACCTTTGTTTCTCCTTGCAAGTCATCTTTAGTAT